ATTGTCTCGAGAAAAGTTGAGGGTAGTAAGTAATGAACTTGAAATCTTTGGATTGGAAACCCGATACTAGTACATCCTGATTTAAATAGTTACTTCATACATCGACCAACTCTAATTGCAACCCAGGAGTCGAGGCAGGGAATTTCGACTTAAACCAAATTGGCCCCCTAAGTTGGCCACTTATGCATCCAAGATGTGCAACAAAAGGAGCTAGGGTTGAATCGAAATTAAATCTGGTTAACAAAAAATTAAGGTATCTACAATAAACCGCTTCATCGGGTTTGTGGTGAGGATGGCGAGAAGACAATCGGGCCCCTTCTATATTTACACTTGGGGGGATGGTAAAGTTGGAGGAAGGATGCTCTCAAAAATCGAATTTAGCCACAACTGTATAAACCAAATAGGGCCAGAAAAATTTCCCGAAGCTTTAGGAGCACTCAAAATTTCGACGAGCCTCGTCGAAAGCAGTATATACATGTGCTAGCAAAAATTTGGCCAAACATACTCTAGGTTGGCCTAGATGAAGGAGATATGCAAGGTCAAACAGATGGGAGGAAATTTGGATCGATCGGGGGCAGAAAACATGGGTACACAACCAGTACACCAAAAAGGCTATGTGCTCTTCATCGGTCACAGTTATTGATTCGTCATCGACGAAATGCTTCTCGAGGAAATGCCCATAAGCTTTCGATTCCCAATCGATTTTGGATCTTAGAGAATTATCCGAGGGACATGCACCCTTAAAATATCTTTCCCCTATGGGTTCTAATCCAGTAATGGCCGCGACTTCAAAAAGGGTGGGCGAGAGGGAACCGCAAGGTAATTCCATGGCATGTATTTCCTTATTCCACAAGTGAACGGCAGCCAAAAACATAGTCATGTCTAAATGAGATAAGTCACATTGGGACGAGTGCAAAAAATCGAAAATTCCCACGCTTCTCCAATGATCCCAGAACTTAGCTTTAACCACTATCGAACCATCTAATGTACAAAGATTTTTTGGAAGGAGGGCCCGTCCGATACACCTTAGAGACAAGATTCAAAAAATCAACCCTAACTTCAGGTTGGTGTACAAGAGCCGGACTATTCGAGAGGTTGAGGGGAGAAAAAGTTCCATCAATAGAACGAAGAGGACCCCCAAAAGCGTAATTAACACCATCAGCAGTGTAAGGAATAAGTACCTGCATTTCAGCAATTTTTCGAGAAGCTTCCTCCATCAGAGGAACTGGAGCGAACTTCTGATTGTTAATCTCCAGCAGGTTAGATACCAATGAGGGAAGAGGTGGAGCGGAAAAGTCAGAAGATTTGGAGGAAGTTGCCATTTCAGTAATTGGTGAAGTAAAGAAAAGCAAGGTAAGAGATGAAGGCGCAGGGATGAAGACAAGAGCTCAAGGAAGAAGATGAAGTTGCAAAGGGTAAAGGTTCGCGTAAAAACCAGAGAAAGATCGATGGAGAGGTTAAGGGGAAAATCACCTAGGGAGTTGGAAACGACGGAAGCGAAAGGCAATTAATGTGGCTTGTACTGTAAGGCAGCAGACTGACGAGACAGCGACATAAAGCAAAAAAGAAACCCAAAACCCTTTAAACCCTAGAACCCCAAGAACCCTAAACCCTAAGTTCTATGGGCCTCCAAACACTAAGGCGGGAATCGTGTTGAAAGAATATAAACGAAACTATTTATATTCTTCCAAGGGGGCATTTTGTTAGGAGGAAATCGAGAAAGCGATCGAGAAATGAAAGAAATAAAAATCGAGAAACATGTGATCGATCGATAACGCGAAGAGGTGAATGAGAAATCATTCGATGTCCAATTAGAAGGGCGTGACACACAAAATCGAAAGATTAGAGTAGGAATCAAAGGAACAATAGTTAAAAGTTTATTGTAGAACAAACCAAGAAATTAGAAGTATATGATGTTAAGGCTAAAAAGAACCAAAAGTAATTCAAAGTTCTCGATAAAATCGAAATCGAGGGGAAGGCTAACCTACGTGGATATCAAAACCCTGGCCAAATTGTGAAGAGAATAACGATCAAGCGCATATACGGAAGCGGTTTCTAAATCATGGTAGAAGTTGAAGATCGTGAGAACGTGGGTACAGTATTGAAACCATAGAAGATAAATCGCAACACGCACGTAGAACGTGGTAGCAGTTTTGTTAACTGCTCCTGGAAGGTTTGAATGATGCCCTATAAATAGAGCAAAAGAGGAAGGAATGGGCAGCAGAAAATTGGCAGAGAACAGAATTAGTAGTGAGAAGTCTACCGGAACATGACGAACACCATGAAGCTTCTGGTAATCTGGATTTCCATGCTCATCGAGTACCTTTACCGCTTGCTTTACTTTCCTTGGTAATTTATTTTGATGCACCTTATATTTAGCAATTTTATGTTTTTGTTCTTTCAATTCCTTGTCATTTCAATTCAATGAAAGTTAAGTTTCCGCGTTTAAGTTTCCTTGTCCTTTAACATTGATGCAATTTCGATTTCGGTATATTTTCTCGCAATCTTGATTCCTTGCCATTTACATTTCCGTTCTTTCGATTCCTTGTCATTTACATTTAACGTATTTTTAAGGTTTCACGCATTTTACGGGTTTCAAGCAATTTAGTATCCTGTATTGTTTTTCGATTCGACGTTTTATTGCTTTCCGCATCTTAAATACAAAACACCAAAAAAGTAGCATTTTCGATACTAGGTAAGGTTCGATCCTCATACGTATTTCGATTGAAAATTAATTTGCTAGCCTAAGTAAAAAGAACTTACGTGATAGAATTTTGGTTAGTATCAAAACATATCGGGGATTGAAATCAATCGAAATTCCACCAGAAACAATAGGATTAGCAAAACAAAACATAATATGATTAATAATTTTAAATGTGAAAATTATGAAACTTCAACGAACAACATCAAAATACAATAGCTATGTGCAGTCAAAAAGAAACTCATGACTATTTTCAGTGTTGGAAATTAGAAACTTTGTGAATAATATTAGTGGGGTTTGAGACAGAGCTTGCCTCTTTTATTGCTTGAGTAGGTTCTGGCAACAGAAGCCAAAGAATAAGAGATAACAACACATGACAAATGGATGGTGACATTTACGAATGTGTTTGTTTCGCTGAAGAAGTTTCAGAAGATGTACAGGTGTTTGTGATTTCTCTTTCTTATATAGCTGTTATTGTGTGACAATATCTAAAATCAAATGAACCTTCTCGCGTGAATCATTGATTTTCTAAGGATTTTCTAAGGTAAATATTCTATTGAAAAAATAAATTGAATGGATATATTAATTATAAATATGAGATATATTAAAATTATTTTATATATCAAGTATAAAAATAACATGTGATTATTAATTATAAATTATATATGAATTATAATGTGATTATTTAAAAATTTAAAAATTACTAAAAATTATTTTTTAAAAATAATTATTAATTACAAATCATATATGAGTTTTTATTTCAGCTATAATTAAAAAATAAAATATAATGAAATATTTCATAATAAAAAATAAAATCAGTTATATGTTACAAAATTAAATTTATATTTAAATATAATTTTAATTTTATTATAATAAAAAATTATAAAATTAGGTATAACTATAATTATATATATTATTAACATTAATTTAATTTATGTATAATAAATATAATAATATTTTTGAATATAATCTATTAGTTATATTATATAATCGATTATACATATTTAATCTATTATATCTCTTCAAAATTTTATGATTCAAGTATTTTATTTGTAAAACTATATTCAAAACATAATTACATGGTAATATACATATATAAAATAATTAACATGAATTTATATTTAAAATAATAATTAAGTATAAATAAAAAAACAACACTTAATAAAAGACAGTATTATACATTAATAAAACAAATTAAATATAAACTTATATATAATATAGACTTATAACTATTAAGTAAAAAAAATAAAAGTATAATATTATAAACATAGATAAAAAATTATGAAATGAAATAATATATTTGAGGATAGTATGAATAATAAAGATAAGGTAATTAATTTTTTATGTATTTTTTCTCGTATAAAAAGAGAAAGATAAAGTATTTAAGTTCCAAAAATTTATTTCTTAAATGAGTACAAAACATTTAATACAAATATAAATTTTCTCTTCAAACATGCATCGTCACTTAAAATTGTAAATCCAGATAAGTTATGTTTTAACTTTCCTCGCTACAATCTCTTTTTGACCAAATAATAAGAACAAACCATCCAAATTTTATAATAAACTTAATTAGATATATAAAAAAATTGACACTTTCATTAAATTAATTCAATTTTATTCTAATTTATTTAAGTTATAATCTTATAAATATAAATATAAATCAAATTAGATTTATGAGAATATTGATTTTATAAAATAAAAAATATTATATATATATTGTAAATTAGTTTAATAATTTTTTTTAATTTTTAATAAAGTCAAAATGAATGACATAAAAGATGAAAGTTATGTTCTGAATAAAAGTAAATTTATATTCAAAAAGTGAAAAGTTATATTTAACAATTATTTACGGTGTTGGACTTATAAAACTGAAAAGAGATACTTGTATCGAAATGGCTTTTGTCCCATTTAAGTAAAATTAACCGGAGGAACCAAAGAGCACTGCAACGGTCGTTTAGACTTTGTTTTAAATCATAGTAAAATTGATGTTGAATGTTTTTTTTTTCATAAGGTCTTCCCTGAAACACCTGATGAACATTATTAACTTTGATTGGTATATTCTCTTATATTCATCAGGCAAAAGACAAAATCATCTATTTAAATTTTTATATTATTATTTATTTATTTTATTTTATTCTTTTTATCAATAAAAAAATATTTTCAGATAATTTATTATATATTTATAATCAATAAATTTTTTTAAAATAGTCAATCATATATTTATAAAGATGGGTCGTGAAAAAATCTTTTCCCTTATTACCAAGATAAAAAAGAACATTAACATAAACCTCACAAATTTTTAAAAGTTAACTACAATTGGACTTCTAACTCGGTGCTTGTGATCAGTCCATGTCAGCAACCCATATGCAAAACCAGTGATGTTAGTAGCCTGCGGGCTCAAGGTCATTGAAACTCTGAACTCCTTTTTCTCACCCTTTTTCTTGAACCTCAGTTTCCTAGGCTTAACCGAAACTACAACCTTTGGTGGCGCCTCAATGCGAACTCTGTACACGCTCGGGGACCCAACATTAGTAACAGTTCGAGAAACATTCACAGATTTTCCAGGTTCAATCCGAGGAATTGTGATTGTTGGGTAGTTGAAATCTGCTAAACTGAACGGCTTTGGACAAGTATAAGGCTTGTTGTAGAACAACTGAAGTTGGGAACTGTCATAGCCACGACCACACAGATAGTTCAAATAATCAGTTGTATTTAAGTCATATACAAGTCCAGGGGCCGCAGCACGATTAGGTCGAATGTGGCCTGCACCAATGTCAAATGGTGTTGACTCCTTCAATAATGAAGTCCGGATATTCCTTTTAGAGTGATCTTTTGTAGTTGCTGCAAAATACACGAAATTTTACAATAAGTTTGGAGTGTGTAAAAATGAATGCAAAATCCTATGGGTGTGTAAAGTGTAAGCGTATGTATAGTAGTTTACCAGAGGTAATGATTGCTGACTTAATAGCAGCAGGGCTCCAATTAGGATGAAGAGATTTGAGCAATCCAACAAGACCAGCAACATGAGGACATGCCATTGAAGTGCCAGACAATGCCATGTAAGGAGTTATTCGTTTGTCAGATTCTAGACCTGTGGGAGATATGCCTTCACTATAAGCGGCGATGATGTTGACTCCTGGTGCAGTGACATCGGGCTGAAACACAACAAAATTACAGTTATACAATCATTTTATATGTAAGTGGTAAAGGGTGAGTGATTGATGAGGTGATCATAACAGCAAACATTGAACCTTGAGGATTGCAGGGTCAAGGAGATTGGGACCCCTTGATGAAAATGAAGCAACCATTGGAGCTGGCTTTACACCCATTTCTGTTTTCACTCTAGAAATATAAGCCATAGGAGACCTGATAATATGAAATGTTATTAAAGGCCCCCCATTAATGAAAAGAAAGCAACCATGAGAAAGAGAATTACTTGGTGCGGTTGATGTAACTATAAATGTAGTTGCCACTCTCATAGTCAACCAGTGATGCAGGAAGCACATGGGGGTCGGATATAATTTCATTCCCTGAGTCCATGTCATTAGCTAGAATCATTCCAACCGCGCCAACGCTTGCAGCTATCACACCCTTCTCTATTCTACCATTTACGCCACGAACACAAAACAATATCTTCCCTTTCACCTTCTCGGCATCAAGAGATCCATTCAGGCAATAAGGGCTACAAGAATGAACTAGATTACAAGAAAGAACATCCCAAAGATAAATTTAAATCAGAAGGTGAAGTTGGTACGAGCTTTTTTACGCGTGAAATGAAGATGCAGACCAAGCTTTTGCTTCAAGACCACTAATCAATGGGTACTTCTTATTAGATGGTGAGCCATATTGTGAAAGGCTAGCTCCCTAACATTAACAGAACAAAAAGGAAGGTAGGTTAGAGGCTCATTTCACATGATATAACCCTCTCCGGAATCCTGATAAAAGATTTATGCTTGAACCTGAAAACGAAAAATAACAATATACCTTGAAGATTTTCTTGTTACCAAGTGTAACATAACTAACGAAGTTTCTGTCAATTGTGCTTGCTCCAACTGTGAAAATCCATGGTTCATTGTTGGAAACAGATCCAAGCGTAGGTCCTGAATTTCCTCCGGAAGCCACCACTGTTATGCCGAGGGCAACTGCATGGAAGGACCCTACGGATATAGCACTTTCGAAAAATTCGGGTGGATCATCTGACCCCAAAGACATGGTAATCACATCTACACCATCACTTATGGCATCCTCAAAAGCAGCCAAAATATCTGCATCAAAACATCCTTTGCTCCAGCACGCCTTGTACGCTGCAACTCGAGCTTTTGGTGATCCACCACTTGCTGTTCCATTTCCCTTGCCAAAAACACTGGCTCCAGGAACAAAGCTACCACCAGCTGTTGATAAAGTATGTGAACCATGCCCTTCATAGTCCCGTGCACTAAGCGTCTCATTCAGTTTTTGACCAACACTTGACTCATATCCTTTGAAATAATATCTTGCTCCAATAAGCTTCCTACATACATTAAAAACGTTAAATTAGTTCAACTATTAAAGACGATTAAAACTCAAGCTTAAGAGCGATTATTATTTAATACCATATAATTTTGTGTATGAGATGAGATAGTTTAGGGAAATTAACAGTAGTATAAAAAAAATGAACCTGTTGCAGCTAAAATTATCTTCCGTTTGACACTTTCCACGCCACCTTTTTGGGATGGGTCCAAACCCTTCATCACTAAAACTATGGGATTCAGGCCAAACACCTGCCACACGTCACAGCATCAGTAAAAAGAGGGTTGATACTTGGGACTTGATTAAATAATAAAGCTAGAAATGATGGAACAACATTCACACAAAAAAAAAAAGTCGAAGAATTTGAATAATTATTTATCTTAATCTTTGTTTTCCTTAATTTTAACTGTTCAAGATAAGATGCTTAGAAATAATTACATATTGTTTATTTCATATTGTAATTAGAAAAAAAAACAAATCATATAGGACTCCATAGAAAACTCCATGATTAAATTGTTAAAATGAAGCTACTTATTGAACCTAAATGTTACATTAGTGAAATATTCAATAATTTATTTTCTCTATTTTTTTAATTAAAGGTAACATTTTCAATTTTGAATTTATATATATATATATATATATATATATATATATATATATTAACATTTACAAAAGAAAAAAATGTAAAATAATTATAATCATGGTTCTGTAATCACCAAAAGTAAGATAGTATGAATTTTAATATTAATATTCATATTAATATGATTAAAAAAATGTTTATTAAGAAAAGGATCAACCAGGAATGTGAGAGATTTTAATTCATATTCATCTTCATACAGTAAAAACAGTGTTATAGACGTACTTAATCAAAAGATGAAGGATACTATTAGAATAATAACTTATAAAAATAAAGTGATTCTGTATACAAACTTTCAAATAAGATCTTATGTTATTCATTTCAAATGCAAAAAGAAAAATATTTACCAGTATCAATATTTCCAATAATAACATCTTCACCCTTTGTCTTCCGCCATATTGAGTGAGATGGAAATACACCTTTTCTTTCTAACCCAAGAAAATTCCATGAAAGTGTTGTGTGTAATTTTCTTTTTTTGTTTAAGAAAACTGATATCACATTCGGATGCTCTACATGCATCAATAATAAACAACAGTTACAACATTAAAAAAACAATTTGTCCAATAACTCACAGTATATACATTATGCATAGAATAAATCACAAAATTGAAGTTCATATACTTGCAACATTTGCTGCTTCATCTTCATCAAGTAATGCAGCAAAGCCATTAATATGTTTATTATAAGAATAAAAGATTGCTTCCTTGGCCAGATCGATGCTGTGAAAGAAAAAAAGAAAAAACAGATATAATCAGTTTACATTGTTTTTTTTTTTTTGCACAAGGATTTCATAAACTTGGGGTAAACTCTATACCTTCCCATGTAAGATCCAAGAAAATCATAGTGAGAGTTTGTGACAGATTCTTGATCAACTGAAGAAGGATTTTGACCAAAAGAATGTGATCCTAAGTATACAATATAGGACTGAAAAAACAAAATGTGAAGGATTAATAACATTTAAATATGAACATTATTCTAAAAATAATGAGTTATGTCTCATCAGAAGAAGCTTATAGAAGCTAGAAAAATATTGAAAAATATAGAGCTTGCACCTGTTTGAGTGCTTGGATATGATCTTGCAGCAGAATGCAAAGAACAAGTAAAAATAACCCCTGAGAAATGGATCTTGCCATTGTTACTCTCTCAAGAGTTTTGTTTCGTACAATCTGAGAGATATGAAAGGTTTTTTATACTTTCCCTTGCTTATGACTTTTCTATGACAACTTTATGAAATCAACTCAATCTTTTCCCATGATTGAGTATTCCAAATCGAGCCAAATATGACCATAAATTATTTAATTCTTCACAAGACGAGGATTCTGTTTGGTAATAAATTTAATATTTGTTGTAAAAAATGAATAATCATTTTTCTTTTGGCAAGAAATTAAAATTATGGCATATCAATAATAATACTAATAAATAAAAGCAATGATAGAATGAATTGGAATTAGTCCAAGTACATCTATTTTTAATGAGTGAAATTAAGTTTCATTATTCTATTTTTAACTAATAAATAATTATTCTTTCATGGAATGTTTTTAAAAGGAAAGAAATCAGGGGAAAACAAATCAATCATTTATTATTTACCTATATCGTATATCCGTTTTTATCATTTTATTTATTTTATATATTTGAAATTTTATTTTTGACATTAAAACAATCTCTGTTTTTTTTTAATACGAGACCGTGAGTATGATAAATAACAGCTTTATTCGTGATATATGTATTTTTGTTTTTTTAATGTCATGAACTCGGGTGAATATATATATATATATATATATATATATGTACATTTATTATATTAAATTAATAATATAATTATAATAAATCTCAATAAATATATAAAATTCTTATTTAATCATTTTTTTAAACCTATAAATATCCATATGTAAGGTAAGTAGGATAGGGTTAGTCAATAACAAATTTGACTAAGAGAAAGGGTCAGAAGAAAAAAATAGACATGTTTATATTTTTAAACTCACCCTTTTATTAATTTTATTAAATTTAGATATATCTATACTATGAATAAATAAAATTGATTTTTGTAATTATTTTCCTGTGTATATTTATTTATTTTACTCTTAATATTGTAAGTTTTTTTATTGATTTTTATAATTATTTCTTTTATATTTTTTATTATTTTAATAACCATTTAATGAAAATTTTAATATTAATCAATTCATCTTGCTTTCACTAGTATTTAAGAATTTGTTATAATTTAAATTTAATTACTATAATTTAAATTAATTTTTATTTTGCTAAAAAAATACCTTAAATATTAAATCATCTCTATTTGTTTAAATTAATCCAATCAATTAAAAAATTCAAACCAAATCAAATAAATTGGTTTTGATAAAATTTATTGACGATATAAATAGAAACTTCACTTTATTTGAGTTAAATATATATATATATATATATATATATATTATTCAAAATTTAAAACCAAAATAAATTTCTATTATTTTATTGCTCTTTTAAATTTTTAATATATAATGATTTAAAATATTTTAAAATTTAATTTAAATTTATATCATCATAGTAATTTAAGTTTAGCCATAATGATAAAAAAATCCTATCACTAGGGTTAGGGGAGATGTTTGTCACTAGAAAAAAAAAATCTAGAATTAAAAGGTTAACATTTTAATGAAACCGTGTTTTTCGCGAATGTTTGTCACAAAATTGTTTTAACAAGAGTATATGATAGTCTAACTTTTCAAGAATGAACAAATGTTTTAACACTCTTATAAAACCATTTAACGTGTTAAGTAATTTAAAATTCTGGTAAAAACATCACTTTGTGTTGCTCTGAGTACTCATGCAATATGATACATTAATGGAGTTCTTAATGTTCTTACCTCTGTTATTAGCTTATTTTAATCAACTTGCATTCCTAATGTCAAAAATATTGTGGTGCAGGTGTTTGGCCCGAATCCAAGAGTTTTAGTGATGAAGGGTTAGGACCCATCCCAAAACGGTGGCGTGGAATATGTCAAACAAATAAAAAAAGTGAATATAAATTTCATTGCAACAGGTTCATTCTTTTCACTCTTGCATTCCTAATAGATGAACATTACTTGTGTTTGTGGTCATCATTCTTTCCGTGTTAAGCTTAGTTTTTCAAGTATTAGCTTCAGTTATAAACAAATGTTTTTGGTATTTTAATCAATCTGACTTTTTTACTCTACGTAGGAAGCTTATTGGAGCAAGGTTTTTTTACAAAGGCTATGAGGCAAATTATGGTGTAAAACTGAATGAGTCGATACTTAGTGCACGTGACTATGATGGTCATGGTTCACATACTTTGTCAACAGCGGGTGGGTAGCTTTGTTCCTGGAGCTAGTGTTTTTGGCATTGGAAATGGAACAGCAAGTGGTGGCTCACCAAAAGCTCGAGTTGCAGCCTATAAGGCGTGTTGGCCAAAATTTCTTTCCTTGTTCGGTGGTGGATGTTTTGATCAGACATTATGGCTGCTTTAGAGGCAGCCATAAGTGACGGGGTTGATGTGCTTTCTCTGTCTTTGGGTTCACCGAATCACCAAGATTACTTCAAAGACGTTGTTGCCATCGGGTCCTTCCATGCAGTTGCCAATGGCATAGTAGTAATGGCTTCTGCAGGAAATGCAGGACCTTCTCCTGGAACTGTATCCAACGTTGGACCATGGATACTTACAGTTGCTGCAAGCACTACTGATAGAGACTTCGCTAGTTATGTTACACTTGGTGACAAGAAAATCATTAAGGTATATTGTTTCTAGAACCTTGACTTTCTTCTTAAATGAAAACACATGTCACTAGTTTTTTTTTTTTTCGTTTTCGTTTTCAAGCCAACATTTTCAATTCAATATCAAGTACGATCAGAAGAGGGTCATTTGGCATCAAGCATCTAACCTTCCCTCTTGTTCGTTCTGTTATTATCAGGGAGCTAGCCTTTCAGAGCAAAACTTACCATCTAATAAGATGTACCCATTGATTAGTTCTGTTGATGCCAAAAATATCAATGCATCGATTAAGGACGCGTAAGAATACTCATACCAACTTGACCTTCTAACTTACCTTTGCATTGACGATGTTCTCTAGTAGCTCAGTCCATTTTTGCAGACTTGGTTGCCAGTATGGAACTCTTGATCCTGAGAAGGCTGAGGGGAAAATATTGGTCTGTCTTGGTGAGGATTCAAATATGGGTGTGGAAGCTTTTAGGGTAGGCGCTGTTGGAATGATTTTGCCTAATGATAAGGGACGAAGGGATGAAATGAGACCCCGGCCCTACTTGCTTCCTGCTGCCAATGTCGGCTTTGAGAATGGCAATTACATTTATAATTACATCACCACTACCCAGTAATTTCCTTCCTCATGCCCCAGTTTTTGAGTTTTGATTTCCTGTTTGGACCTTTTCTTAATTAACATTTTCTATTATCAGGTCTCCTATGGCTTATATTTCCAGAGTGAAAACAGAATTGGGTGTGAAGCCAGCTCCATATGTTGCTTCATTTTCATCAAGGGGTCCCAATGCTGTTGACCCAGCAATCCTCAAGGTTCAATTGTTTGCTTTGATGATCACCTCCCACTCACTCACTTTACCCTTTAGGACTTCTAAAGTGATCGTATAACTGTGATATTTGTTTTCTATTTCAGCCTGATGTCACTGCACCAGGAGTTAACATCATAGCTGCTTATAGTGAAGCCATATCTCCCACAGGTTTAGAATCTGACAAACGAATAACTCCTTACATGGCATTCTCTGGCACTTCAATGGCATGTCCTCATGTTTCTGGCCTTGCTGAGCTGCTCAAAGCCCTTCATCCTGATTGGAGCCCAGCTGCTATTAAGTCGGCAATCATTACCTCATGTCAACTACACATATATGCCTTACACTTTACACATACGATTTTTCATTCATTATTTTACACAGTCTAAATATAAAATTTCATGCATTTTGCAGCAACTACAACAGATAACTATGGAAGGCCTATTCAGGATTCAGTTTCGAACGAGGCAACTCCATTTGACTATGGTGCAGGGCATATTAAACCTGACAGTGCTGCGGACCCTGGACTTGTATATGATCTGAATATTACTGATTATTTGAACTATTTGTGTGGTCATGGCTACACCAGTTCCCAGCTTAAGCTCTTCACCGATAAGCCTTATACTTGTCCAAAGTCGTTCAGTTTAGCAGACTTCAATTATCCAACGATCACAATTCCTCAGTTGGGCCCTGGACATTCTGTGAATGTTTCTCGAACTGTTACTAATGTTGGATCCCAAAGCACGTATGAAGTGCGCATCAAGGCCCCACCACAAGTTGAAGTTTCGGTTGAGCCTAGTAAGCTGAGGTTCCAGAAAAAGGGTGAGAAAAAGGAGTTCAGAGTTACATTGAACTGGAAGTCTAAAACTGAAAACACCACTGGTTTCGTCTTCGGGAGGTTGACGTGGACTGATAAGAAGCACCATGTTAGGAGTACCATTGCAGTTAATGTAACACAATAAGTGAGATTTATGTTGATGCTGCAGTTACCTCCGATTATTTGGAGTTGTATTTGTATCCCTTTCTTTTACCTCTGCAATAAAGCTTCCGTTGAACTGTAAAGTTATTCAACTAGCAAAAATATATTTTCTTATAGGTCAAATTTGGCTTGTCCCTCTTGATCTCTAAGCCATTTTTTGTATGCGCATACATAAAAAAAAGGTAAAATGTAAGAAAGAGGTGGAGATAAATAAGAGATTATTCCTGATACAAACTGTAGAGAATTGAGATAATTTGGTTTTATTCTTCTTTGTCAAATAGAAAAAAAAATCCTTAAACATTATAAAAACCATCTTCGTAAAAGAAATTAATCTCTAATATAATTGCACTAATTTGTGATGAAACAAATTCTCAATACAGGTCCAAAAGATGAGTTTTTTTCAACCCACTGGTAAGAAAATAAATCGGTCCCATTTGAACTCTCGTTCCTTCCAGTGAAAGTGTATTCTTTCTGAGAACAAAATTCCTATTTAATTCCATTGGGAAGCAGAAAACAACCAAATCAAACACACTCTAAGATACGTTCATCGGCTCGGTTGGATACGTCCAACGATGTCATTGGATTCTCGTCAACAACTGGAGTTCCCAGATAAAAAATTCATATAAAAATAACAGAAGAAATAAACGCGAACAAACTATAATAAGGTTGTACAGAGCTTGAGAAATCGTTCATCATATCTCATAGATACACATTATACTTAGCCCAAAAATAATAATAGCAAACGAAATCGAAAGAACCATGTAATGAGAGAGAAGGGGGGGAGGGTTATGCGGCGAGTGTGATATCATCCAACTCAAGCTCAGCAGCAATATCCTCAAGCTGCTTCCGGACGCTCATGTCAATCAACTTGGAACCCGAATTCCCGTACCTCACAGTGAAACCAGCCACCAAACTAGGGTCAAGGACGGTCTTAATCCTCACGTTTTTGGCCCCAGTCAGCTTCTGAACCTGCTTTGCAATTTGTGCCAGATGCTGCGATTCCAACTTCACCACCGAGGTCACCACCGCGAGCTCCGTATCGGTCAAAGTGTTATACATCAATTCGAACTCCCTTGCTATCTCGTTTATGAGATCGATTCTCTGCCCGTCCACGAGGATGTTGAGGAAGTTTTTGGTGTGGGGTTGCAACCCCGAGGACTCGGCAATTTGGTCCACCAGCTTCCGCTTCTCCTCCACGGCCAGCGTGGGGTCCGCGAAGAAGTCCGACACCTTCGGGTCCGAGAAGAGCTCGTCGATTTTTTCGATGTCGGCGGTGGTCGCGTCCAGCGTGTTGTTGGCGCTCGCCACGTCAGCCAGGGCGGTGGCGTAACTGGAGGCCGCCGTGGCCGACATTCTGGCGCCCGCGGAACCGTTGGAGCGGCTGGTGGCGGCGGCGAGCTTCAGCTTGAGAGCGGAGAAGGTGGAGCGGGGGAGGGAGAGGGAGAGGGTGGGTTTCTGGGCGAGGGAGTTTCGCGGGATTAGGACGTGTTTGGATTGGAGAGAAGCTGTGGGGTGCTGCAAAGACGCCATTTTTGCAGTGAGTGAGGAATGACTGATGATTATGTTGTGTTCTGTTTTTCTTCTTTTTTTTTTTCTTTTCCTTTTTCTTTTGTGATGGTGTGGAGAGAAGAGGCTCATTCGGAGGATGGTGAGGATCACGGTGGCCTCTTATCTCGCGGATAAGATTATTATCAACTTTGGACACGTGGACGCCTATGTGTGGAAGGAAGATTTTTTTTGGTTTCTGATTTGGACTTTTTGAGAAAACAATATTCGAATCAGAAAAATAAAGACAAAAGTGCACCACTGAAATTAGCCTTGGATGAAGTTTATTGCAAACTCTACCCAAAAAGGAAAGGTGATAAGAAATTATTTGGATTGAACCTATCATTACTTTCCAGCATAGTATCTTGTTTTCTCACAGTTTTTTTTTTTTTTACTCTTTCAAATAATTCAAGATTCGATTTTTTATCTTTTGTTTTCGCATATATTAATCTCACATCATTTAAAAATCAAAATTAAAAATTTTATATATAACATCAATAATACTTGAGATATGATAAACATTATACAATACAATTCGGTATCTATACATGTGTAATCATTACTTTTAGCTCTGGTTTGGTTGGAGTGATATGAGAGAGTGGAAATGAGAGTGTGGAAAAGGAGGAATTTGAAAAGAAATGGAGATAAAATTAAAGTTGTTTGGATGAATGGAAAGTAAAAGGAAAGTTTATGGAAAATTGTGAATGATTTGATTGATATGAGATATAAAAATTATAAATTTAATTGATTATTTAAGAAAATTACCATTTTACCCTTTGTATAAAATAAGGTTCAAATTATTATAAATATAATTTTTTAATTAATTATCCATATTTTAACATTGATTATATATTTAAAAGAAAAAACAAATTTAAAAGTGTTTGTAATTGGAAACAAATTTAAAAAATTAACTTTTTTTAAATAGTTATTAAAAATTATATAAATAAACAATTACAAAATTATTTACATTACATATCCATAAAAAAATAATTTTGACATATTAAATAAATTATTTGACTAATAATTAAATAATTATAAAATATAAAATAATAATTAATATCGACTAATAATAACAAATAATTATGAAAGTTTTTTAAGTGATATCGAATATAATTATAATTATATTCAAAAAAATTTCAAATAATTAATTATAATCGATTAATTTTTTAAATAATTGATTAGAATTGATTAGTTTTTCAAATAATAGATTATAATTGATTAATTTCTCAAATATAAATTAAATTAAAATAAAAAAAATTATTTTTCAATTATATATTATAAAAATTATAATTATATAATTAAAAAAATATATCTATATAATTTTATAATATTTTATATAAAATTTATAGTTTTAAATATAGTTTTAAAAAGAAGTATGTATTTATTAGATTAATAATATATTTAGAATTCTGGTTGAAAGTAGTAAAATATAATTTTTATTTGTGTGATTAAACTTTTTTAATTTTTTACTTTATTTGATATTGTAATATTTTTTTATAAGTGACCCATATATGAATAATTAATTAGAATAAATTAGAATAAATGTTAACCGATCTTATAAATTAATTAATTAATTATATATATATATATATATATATATATATATATATATTTTGCGTAAATTAGAATAATAATTATCAACTTGAAAATAATTTATATTTAATATATATATATATATATTTATTCTAAAATATAATTTTATTTTATTTCTATAATATATCTATAAATGAAAATAAGTTATATTTTGGAATATATATTTTATATTATAGTAATTAAAATAAATTATATTTTAGAATATATATATATATATTAGTTAGTTTTGCTTTCTTATAAAAAAAATCTATTTAGGATTAGATAGCGGTTAAATATTTAACCGCTATCTAAAACGTATTTTAGATAGCGGTTCTCCATTTAACCGCTATCTAAAACCTTTTTAGATAGCGGTTAACGTGGAACCGCTATCATATATCGATGTCCAAGCTTATTATGATCGATTAAATTTTAAAATGATCGATTATATTCGAAATTTTTTCAAATAATAAATTATAATCGATTAATTTTTTAAATAATTGATTAGAATTGATTAGTTTTTCAAATAATAGATTATAATTGATTAATTTCTCAAATATACATTAAATTAAAATAAAAAAAAATTATTTTTCAATTATATATTATAAAAATTATAATTATATAATTAAAAAAATATATCTATATAATTTTATAATGTTTTATATAAAATTTATAGTTTTAAATATAGTTTTAAAAAGAAGTATGTATTTATTAGATTAATAATATATTTAGAATTCTGGTTGAAATAGTAAAATATAATTTTTATTTGTGTGATTAAACTTTTTAAATTTTTTACTTTATTTGATATTGTAATATTTTTTTATAAGTGACCCATATATGAATAATTAATTAGAATAAATTAGAATAAATGTTAACCGATCTTATAAATTAATTATATATATATATATATATATATATATATATTTTTTTGCGTAAATTATAATAATAATTATCAACTTGAAAATAATTTATATTTAATATATATATATATATATATATATATTCTAAAATATAATTTTATTTTATTTCTATAATATATCTATAAATGAAAATAAGTTATATTTTGGAATATATATTTTATATTATAGTAATTAAAATAAATTATATTTTAGAATATATATATATATATATATATATATATATATATATATATATTAGTTAGTTTTGCTTTCTTATAAAAAAAAAATCTATTTAGGATTAGATAGCGGTTAAATATTTAACCGCTATCTAAAACGTATTTTAGATAGCGGTTCTCCATTTAATCGCTATCTAAAACCTTTTTAGATAGCGGTTAACGTGGAACCGCTATCATATATCAGTGTTCAGCTTATTATGATTTATTAAATTTTAAAATGATCGATTATATTCGAAATTTTTTTCACTGCTTTGAGTCTGTTAGTTACAATTGATAAAATGAACGAATATTTTAAATCAATTTTAAGGATTCTGTACGAAGTACATGTTTGCATATACTAATGTCAGCAATAGTTTTTTTTTTGGTCCAATTTACAGTTTTGGTTTGATTAAATTGCCTGACATTTTTTTCACTATTCACGACAAGCATGTGCAGAATCAGAAGCTCTCTGAAGAAGCATCTTATGCCAAAGAACTGGCCTCTGCTGCTGCTGTGGAGTTGAAGAACTTAGCTGGGGAAGTTACCAAACTTTCATTGCAGAATGCAAAGTTGGAGAAGGAATTGATGGCTGCACGAGACCAGGCCAACACTAGAAATGTTGTTGGACATTTCAATTTGCATGCACGTACCAGTGAATCTTGCAGAGTGAGGGTAAGTTGGACATTTCAATTTGTCCAGGGGGCTTTCATCTCATTTCTTCGTGCATCAGCGAAGAACCACTTTCTCCTCTCTCCCGCTTTTCCTCGCTTTCATTTCGTCGCATTTTTGTTCAATCAAACGTGTGTCATCCTCGTGCTTCTCTCGTCGTGAACAGTACATCAGTGAAAACAAACAGAGCGTTAAGGAATTGAATTTTAAAACATTTTACACAACTAAAAGCCTTAAAAATGTATCACGATTCATATAAAAATATATCACAGTTAACATTCGGATGTGTTTTGTGAGTGATCTAGAATTAGTAGGTGAAGAAATCGAAGAACCTATTCACTAGTCCAACTGATTACTCAAGATCAATTTTGTTATTAAACATAAATTAAGTAGAGGTGCGTGAAGAAAAAAATAGAATTTTTATAATGACAGTTGAAAATGTATATTTCTAAATTTTGATTATAAACGGACATTAACTCTTAAAAACTAATTATCAATAAAAATTAAGTAGCTTTTTTTTCGAAAAATTTAATGTAATTAACACTCAAACTCATTCAAACATTTTATTTAAATTTATCAAAGTTTTTTTTACTATTATATTATTTTTTTAATATTTATATAGATGTAATCCTTTTTATTAACATTATTTACATTGAAAAATATTTTTAATTTAAAGTATCGAAAATAACAACTAATTGGAATTAATATTAAAAATGAGTTAAAATCTTAATTGATTGACTTTATAATTATATTTATTTTGATTTAATTACTTGAAATAAATCAAATTTATTAATTTATTAAATTGATGATAAATTCATCAGAATATATTATAATATTAAATATATAAGAAGTGAACTTTTTTAATATAATCTTTTGTACAATATATTTATAATTTTTAAATATGTTATTTTGAATTTTTTATTTTAAATGATCTCATTTTTAAATAATTTTTTTAAATCAAAAAATTTAAATTTATTTTAATTATTATCAAATATAATAATTTATGAATTAAGTCTCATTTAAGATATTTGACTTTTATTTATATGGATTACGTTAGATTAAGATAACTATAATAAGTTAAATCGAATGAATTTAAATTATAACAAATTAGATCAATAACGTGGATGATATAGATTATACTTAATTAGAAATTTTGGTTAAATTATACTATATTGTTAACTTAGGATAAGTCAAATATGTTAAGATATATTGAAATGAGTGAAATTAGATATGAAAAAGTTAAACCATGTAAGTCAAAAGTAACCAAATAGTATAAATGAGACCAAAAATAAAATAACTTAAATTAAATCAAAATAAAAGATTTAAAATAAACAAGTGAAATTAAAATAAATCACATTAGCATTAATTAACTCAAAATATATCATATCTACTTTCATAATTTTTTTCAATTTTTTTTATTTACAACTCTATATAACAATATAATAATAAATAATATAGAGCAATTCTAATTATAAAGTCTATAATAAAATCATAGTTAGAATTGAGATTATTAAAAAATTAAAGATATCACAGTAAAAATATTATTCTTCTTCTAAAATGCTAACGTGTTTATATTTTATTTTGATATTTTTAACTTATATTTCTCAACAAAAGTGCAATGGTAAAATAAAAT